TATACATATAGAGAGAGAGAATAAAGATAAAAATAAATATTAATAAAACAGAATAAAAATTCCAATTTTTTTAATCCAAATTGTGGATGCCTTCTGATACATTGTTGATATAGATATTTATTAAAAAAAATTTTGTGCATTTGTATTCCTTTTAATGCGATGATTATACATGCACTAAACGTTTGGGGTGCGTGAGATCTTTTTTTTTAACTTTTATTAAGCAAGGATATATTAATTTGATCAAAAGTGACAGTAAAGACACTAATGTTACAAAAGATTTCTATTAAAAGTACATGCTGTACTTAAAAAAACAGAATTATTCATCAAAGAATCCTGAAATAATTTATCATGGTTTTTTTGTATCTTTTTTTTTTTACATTGACAATAACAAATGTTTCTTGAGCAGCAAATGAGCATATTAGAATTATTTCTGAAGGATCATATGACACTGAAGACTGGTGTAATGGCTGCTTTAGCTTTGCTTTCACAGGAATACATTTTAAAATACATTAAAATAGAAATTGAAGTTATTCCATTTTACTGTTCTACAGTATTTCTGATAAAATAAATGTAGCCTTGGTAAAGATTTTCATAAATATTACAAAAATCTAACCAACCCCAAATGTTTAAACGGTAGTGTACATTAACAAGACTTGTATATCTGAATTAAACAGGAAAATAAAAATCAGAATATGAGCTCAAAACATAATGGAGTAATGAACATGTATCATGGATGAGTAAAATAAATAGTATGCAGTTTATTTATAACTCCACGCACTGTGTAGGAGCTTTGACAACTCTCTCCATCTGGCGTCCCTGGTGATTCTCCAGCAGAGTCAGAGAGAAGGAGTGCTCCAGGCTGGGGACAGATGTGACCTCCCCAAAAAGCTGCACCTGGACCAGGGAGCGATGGGCATGATCAAGGACTACATACCGCTCAGAACTGCAGCACAGGGAAACAAATGAGTGAAGTCTGATTCAGAAACAACAGGATTAACTAAACAGCAAATGCAAACAGGGGTGTTACTTTTTATAAAAGATCATTAAAAAAAGTGAATGCATATAAATGGCATGTAAATATAATGCAGTGTTTTGTAACCCTCATAAAACAGAGTAAAGTCATAACACAAACAGGTTTTTCAGCTTTCTACCTTTTCTTGCTGGCAATAACAAGTAGGTCATTGAAGAGAAAGAGGTAGACGGGGCTGAATTTGGGGCGGAGGTTCAAGAATGTCCCTCCTCTGTTTACTTCCTGCAGTTCTCCTCGTTTCTCCAAATAACGTGTTTGAGAGATAATTGGCACCGCCTAAATAAATGATTCAATGATGAGACAACATTTAAACAAATAAATAGATCAATTTAAATAATGACTATAAAATATATTTAAAAATATAGATTTTTTTTATATAAAAAATATAATAGTAAATATTCCTATTTGTTTTCAATAAAGCATTTAAAAAATGATTGGTAGAATCAAAAAGAAGCTAGGGAGCTGATTGAGACGCACCCTAAGATTCTACACTATTTTTTGGTCGCTAATCAAAAGTAAACACATTTGTGCAAGTGACCATGTGACATTCACATTGTAATTATTTTGTTCATTATTTAAAAACAAATACAAAACAGAGGAATTTTCACTGGTAGCCTCAGAATATTAAATCCCACTGTAACCATCTGTATAATAATAATTGCTTTACAAAGACAGGTTTAAGGAACAGAACTAAATAAACATTAAAGGGGTCATATGATGCGATTTCAAGTTTTGCTTTCTCTTTGGAGTGTTACAAGCTCTTGGTGCATAAAGAAGATCTGTAAAGTTGCAAAGACTAAAGTCTCAAATCCAAAGAGATATTCTTTATAAAAGTTAAGAGTCAACCACGCCTACCTAAAATGGCTCGTTCTATCACAGGAGAGTGAACTGCCTGTCAGAAATCATAGCACGTCAGCTGTCTTAACCGCGGCTTGTGTACTGCATCATCACTGTGTCTGTCACGCGACTCTGTTGCCCTTTCAGGCTTGAACTGATGGTAAAACTAACGACATTATTAACTGTCTTGATATTTACTTTGAAAGCTGAAGCGATTATGGTAAGGGGCGTTACATTTCCGATGTGTGCTTGTGGTGTTCGGCCAATCACAATGCACTGGGTCAGCTGGCCAATCAGAGCAGACTGCGCTTGTCAAAGGAGGGGGCTTTGTTGAAAACTACGTGTTTGAGAGAGGCGGCGCATAGAGGACCTACAATAATATACAGTATTTGAAAAAGAATGTGTTTTTTGAACATTAAAGCATGTCAACATATTCTGTTACACCAAATAATGATCTTTAAAATAGCATCATATGACCCCTTTAATACAAAAGTCAATTTGCTTACCTTTAGTTTGTCGAACTCCAGCATACCATTAATCTGAATCAGTTCCTCCATCTGCTTCATTTTTCCAACCTGAGTATTACATTCTTCAATGATCTGTGAGGACATGCGTGACAAGTTATTTAAGATCACATCAAAAACATTCTTTCCATACAGACAAATGAATCTGAATGCATGACAAACATATTAAACATGACCTATTTTGGTTTTCGTGAAAATAAAAAACAAATAAACTTATTTTACTAGCCTAATGCTTTAAAACCTACTTTATCAAATATGGCATGCTTATAAAATGTATATTTCTAGTGACCCGACCTGCATTTAACCTTGTTTTCCACTCTCTCCCCGTTTCCCATTATTCTTGCTCTCTTTTCCTTTTATCTTCCTCTCTTAACAGGCTATTCTGGGAACAATGAGGTCTAGTTTGATCAAGGAACTGTGGGTGAGGAGTGGCTTTATAATGAGAGGAAAAAACAGGGCGCATTTACTGTGACCTTGAGGTGTTTACCTTGGACACAGAGTCCAGAGCTTTAGATGCTGTCTGCTCCTTCTCTGTCCCAACAGCCGTTCTCTTTAGGATGTTCTGATGAAGAAAAAAACAACAGATTTTTTAAAATCTGGATTAAAGGGGTCATATGATGCCCATTTTCCACAAGTTGATATGATTCTTTAGGGTCTTAATGAAAAGTCTGTAACATAGTTTGGTTAAAATTTTTCAATGGTAGTGTAAAAACACCTTTTTTTACACTGTCAAAAACAGCTCTTTTCAGCTTAAGCCGTTTTTGTAGCATTTCCATTTAAATGTTAATGAGCTCTGCTGACCCCGCCCCTATCTTCCGAGCTGCTCTCAGAGAGACTGTTTACTTTAGCCGCATTCATCTGAAACTTGCTAATTAGCACATTATTAGGAAAGGTGATTTGCAAATAAAAGTGCATGTAGCATCCTATGACCCCTTTAAGACAACTCTGCTTGATTATAATGTGATGCCTTGCGAACGAAGTATAATTGTGGAAACAAAAACAAAACTAAAAACTCCCAAAACCAACTGAAATTGGTTCCAACAAATACATATATACTACCTTTTACAATTTTGGGGTCATTAGGAAGTTTCTTATGCTCATCAAGGCTGCATTTATTTGATCAAACAGTAAAATAGTTAAATATGATTTCTTTTTTCTATTTTAATATATTTTCAAATGTAATTTATTCCTGTGATGGCAAAGCTGATTTTTTTAGCAGTCTTCAGACTCACAAGTTCCTTCAGAAATCCTTCTAATATGCTAATTTGGAGCTCAAGAAACGGTTGTGCAGCTTAGTATTTTTGTGACAAATTTTTTCAGGATTCTTACATGAATAGAAATTTCAAAAGAACGGTATTTATTAAAAAATAGAAATCTTTTGTAACAAATGTCTTTAAAAAAACAATTCTAAAGTGTATTATGTGAATGATTCACTCACCTCGATGAGCATTTTAATGCGTGTGATTCGCTGAAAGGGCAGCAACAGGAAGGACATAAAGGGCAGTCGCTGACAAATGGGCGACTCCTGGAGTCGGGTGATTACGGTCGCAAACTGAGTGTTAGATTGCCTGTGACAGATATAAGGCAAAAGAACAAGTGAGAAAATACAAAATAAATGGATGATAAGAATATTAGACAAAACAGTTTGAGTTCGTGCTTGTGTGTGTGTAGGTGTATGAGTTTCTCACATTAGATTACTATAGGTCTTTTCCTGATAAATCTGGTTTCGAACATAGTCGATATACGCAGGGAAATGATGTTGGGCATGATAGTGGATGATGTCACAGATGTCAGAAATGATAACACTCTCGTCTAGACGCTCCTCCAGGTCCTTTAGGAACCTGTGAACATCAACAGACAGTGGTATTTGTAAATGAATGTTTGTGACTGCTGTGACTTGTTTTACAGTCTACACTGCATCGTCGAAGCATTAGACTATTAGTTGCCGATGATGTATTTGTCCTGAGATTTCATGTTTAATAGTTTTCTATTAATAAAACATCAAACGCGGCTGTCTCAGCAAATTCTGATGGGTTACACCTGGAAAATCATTTGTTGCTGTACAATAACAATGCCGCAAATGTAGTCTATGGGGTTCATGTATATAAAGAAAACTAATTTGTTTGGTTCAGGCAGTGTTGCTTCAGCAAATCTAAACTGTATATGTCTTCATTTCACACACACACAGGCACTCACCTCTCGCTGACCTCTTGGATGCGCAGAATGTTTGAGAAGAGGGTTTTTTTGTCCATGTTAATAAGTGTGTCATTCAAGTCACTTGACTCCATAAAATGCTCTGTTAGCACACGCAGAGAGCGCAGATACGACATTTCTGATGTAATCACCTCGAACATGCTCTGCACACAAAGAAAGGAAACACATAAATATATATTTTTTTAAATTTACGTCTGTTAGCTAAGACTAAACCACTTCTATCTAGTTCAGATTTTGAGAAAGCAATTACTGCCATTGTCTTTTCTTGAATGGATTATTGTAATTCCTTTTATTATGGAGTTGATGTTCGAGCACTTATGCGTTTACAGAAAATCCAAAACGCAGCAGCAAAAATGATCAAGTTGGCAACGAAATATGAATCTGTGACTCCGTTATTAATTTCATTAAAGTGGTTGCCAGTACGACTTAGAATTATTTATAAGATCCTCATACTGGTTTTTAAGGCCTTGCACAATCTAGCTCCTGTGTATTTGTCCAGTATGGTGGCAATCTACACCTCTAGATCCTTGAGATCAGAAAATCAACATCTGCTTTGCGCTACTAGGACAAAATATAAACAGAGGTGACAGAGCTTTTTCTTGAGCAGGCCCTAAACTGTGGAATGACCTCCCTCAATCTATTCGATCTGCCAAATCCTTACCCATGTTCAAAGCTATGTTAAAACAACATCTTTTAAATATAAATGTGACCCTGGACCACAAAACCTTGTGTCTTAAGTCGCTGGGGTATATTTGTAGCAATAGCCCAAAAAAACATTGTATGGGTCAAATTTATTGCTTTTTCTTTTATGCCAAAAATGATTAGGATATTAAGTAAAGATCATGTTCAATGAAGATATTTTGTACATTTCCTACCATAATTATATCAAAAGCTAATTTTTGATTAGTAATATGCATTGCTAAGGACTTAATTTGGACAACTTTAAAGGTGATTTTCTCTGTATTTTGATTTTTTTGCACACTCAGATTCCAGATTTTCAAATAGTTGTATCTCGGCCAATTATTGTCCTATCCTAACAAACCATACATCAATGGAAAGCTTATTTATTCAACTTTCAGATGTTGTATAAATCTCAATTTCGAGAACTTGACCCTTATGACTGGTTTTGTGCTCCAGGGTCACAAATGGGGAGCCTTTTTTTTTTTTTTAATGGTTTAATGTTTATGTTATGTGGGTGTGTATATTTTTGCTATCTCTTTGTGTTTCTTAGCTTGTGATTGTGAAGCACTTTGGGCAACACGAGTTGTATTAAACTGTGCTTTATAAAAAAAAATGTGCTATATAAATATTATTTAAATTCAATTTACTCTTCAATTTCTCAAAAATGTAAAATCTTTATATTGGTAGTAACAGCTTAGTTTTTTTCCCACATTCACTGTTATTATCTTCTGTAATTGTATTACACTAATTTGAAATACTGCCACATTTCAGGTCACATTTAACCCCAAAATCAAAAGATTTTTTTTTTATTGCATAAAGAAAATAATACATGTTAGGACTTTTCAAATTTAACTTTCTTTAAATTTTAAAACATTAAAAAAAAAAAAACTTTTTTTTTTTTTTTAAATGAAAACAGTAAGAATGGGATTTTCTTGAATTATGGTTTAACTGTGAAGAAAACAATTTAATAAAAAAAAACTTAATATTCTTTATTCGTGCCTTCATTTTCTATAAGTGCAAAAAATAAACTATTGTTCAAAAATAATAAAAGTCAATATATTTTTTTTCAACAAATATGCCTTCAATTGATCAAAAGTGACACTAAAATATCTATAATGCTCCAAAAATTCTATTTCAAAGAAATGCAGCACAGCTGTTTTCAATTACAATTCATTCTGTTTTCATTTCAACAACAAAAAGAAATGTTTCTTACACTCCAAATCAGCATAATAGAATAATTTCCAATGAATCATACCGTAATGGCTGTTGAAAATTCACTTTCGCATCACAGGAATAAATGATATTTTAGAATTGTAATAATTTTTCATAATATTACGGTTTTTACTATACTTTTGATAAAACAACTGCAGTCTCAGAGTGCATTAGACACTTATTATCTTATTGAGAACGGGTAGTATACATATGTGATTGTATGACAATTAATTTTCAAAATTGTCAAATTTTCGAAATTGAGATTTATACATCATCTGAAAGCTGAATAAATAAGCTTTCCATTGATAGGACAATATTTGGCTGAGATACAACTATTTGAATATCTGGAATCTGAGGGTGCAAAAAAATCAAAATATTGAGAAAATGGCCTTTAAAGTTGTCCAAATGAAGTTCTTGGCAATGTATATTACTAATCAAAAATGAAGTTTTGATATATTTATGGTAAGAAATTTACAAAATATCTTCATGGAACATGATCTTTACTTAATATCCTAATGATTTTTGGCATAAAAGAAAAATCGATAATTTTGACCCATACAATGTATTGTTGGCTATTGCTACAAATATACCAGTGCTACTTATGACTGCTTTTGTGGTCCAGGGTCACATATTGGTGAGGTCAACACTCTTTGTACTTCCTTTCCCATCCACCCCTTTCCATCCTGTCTTTTCCTACAGATTTCCATCCTCTCTCTCTTTTCCTCTCAAATGACTTTTATCCCCATATATCCCCAAACACAGAAAGCCTCAAATCTCAGCACTGGCTATGAAGTACATGCTCTCCTCTGCATTCTGTACCATGTTCAGTGAGGATTTCTGCTCACCTCTTGGTACTTGCACTCCTCTGGACTTAGGGTCTGCAGGACCCCGCTGTCTCGTACTGCCGACTGGTCCCGCCATAAATTGCTCTGCTTGAGATTTGGAACACTACTGGATCTGGGACGTGTTTCTCCTTTCTCTGGGCTGGATGTAATGCGTGGGTCCATCTGGAAGTCCAAGCTGGTTTTACTGATGTTGCGACATACGGTCCTCCTGATCTCCTTGTGTATATATGTTTCTGTGTAAAACTGATACAGCTCTGCAAGGGTCATAAAATATGGCATTAAATTCAAACCCCCTCAAATCAATTTATTGAGAATTTTTACTAATGTACGAAAGGTATCATTCATCACAATTTCTTTATAGTGTTTCTTTCTTAACTTTCATCATGTCTGTCTGTCTTATAATTTTTAATTTATAACCAGAAATGTATTCAATAAGAAAAAAAATGATACCCTCAGGCACCCCAGCTCCCAAGTCAACAGTTTGTTGGCGACGTGGAATGGCTCGTGGAGGTCTAGAGCTGTGACAGAGATTGAGTTACA